TTTTTCTTTTACTTTTGCTGGTTATTTACGGTTATCTGACCAACTGCTACTAAACTTAACTTGCCTCATGTTGCAATTTCTCTGTGTGCTGTGTTTGAACCTGCATCAGCAGACAAGTTAAGTTGAGCAGCAATTGGTTAGATAACAGTAGAGTCTGACCCAACATGGCTGCTCAGTCACATAAATAAGTGAAAGTTTCTCAATAAAATTAGTACATATTAAAAAAATAAAAATAAACCCTATGGTATTAGGAATACAAAACTGCAACAATGGCCCCCACCCAGTGATTAAAGGGTTAAAACACCTTTTTTAATTGACTTGATTCCAGCACTAAGGTCCCTTTGTGTTGGATCAGTCTCCTCCTCCTATAATGTAATGCTGATGGGGGTACCTAATGCGCATGTGTGATAAGTGCCTGCTTTAGAGCTTCCTTATAGGAAGGCATTTAAAAAGTGCTTTTCTAAGGGAATTTTGAAGATGCTAGATGTCTTCATGCAAAATGTGAGAAATTCACAGAGTTACTGTGAGAATGCAGGTACTTTTAACCCAGCAATGTAGACCACATTAATGATTACAGGCATAGATGATGTAACATGTTGAAACTTCATCGTCTGTCTGTCTGTCCATCCATACGGACTAGGTGCTCAGGAGTCTTGTATATCCCTAGGACAAGGCTCTTTTGAGATAAGATGCATTTGTGACTAATGTTGTTTCTGGCACTTTTGCCATGCATTCATTCTACCACAATTTCTCCCATTCTGTTTAAGTGCACCCATACATATTATGTATTATATATACTTTTTTCAAATGATAAATAAGACTTTCTTTGGATACCTATGTGTATACATAACACAATATTAAATATAAAAAAAAAATGGAAGAAAAATAAATGTTTATTACATTTAATTATTTCTACACAACAAGTGCAAGTAACTCAAAATAGCTTAACTAATTAGTCTTGACTGATAAAATGCCCAATACATCTGGGATTTCAATAGTTTTTTATAAATTATAAAACATATATTGCACGGAGTGAATTACAGTTTTAAATTAGAATTTTACATTTGACATGCTAAGATAATCACACAATCCAAATCTTCTACGTAAAATAATGTATTTGTGGAAGTTACATTCCCCAGGCTATTTAACTAACAACATTTTGACACTTTTCATTAAACTATTTTATCACAAACCTTGGTCAAAATATTTAACTTTTTGTGTTCTTTTTTCACGTGTTTTATTTTGGAGAAATTCACAGACCATGCGTGTCTCACTACTGGAAGCTCCCCATATTTGTATTCTCCTACTGTTCTCAAATACAATGATACCTAACATAAAAAATCTTTTCCCCTAATCCTACACGTAATCTTACACCTAATCTTACCCCTCAACTCATATTCTAAACTGTAACCCAACCCTTTATCCAACCCATAATTCACACCCCTGAACTTATTCATTATCCTACCAATTATCCAATTCATAATCCTGCTTCTAATCCCACCCATTAACCCTACCAGCTAATCCTACCTCTATCAGTACTGACAACAACAGAAGGATTTTCCAACTAACACAGTATAGTGTGCTCTATGAGCACTCTACTGTCTGACTGCAGCATGAGAGGGAGATCTCCCTCTCATGCTGCAGCTTCTGAAGCTGTGATAAGTATTGGGCATCTGGCAAAGCCCAACAATGATCACCTGGCAGAGGAACATGCAGGGAGACATGTCCCGTCTTTTCTTCAGACCTGGGGTTCTCCCTCATCATGGGAAAAGACTCAGAAACAACACAACTGAGCGTTATCAATCAGCCACTGTGATTTAAAGAGATTTAAATGGCTCTCATATTTAGTGCAGCACATAACTCATCGGTAAGTCTAAGACTACTAATGGTTGAAAGATACTTGAGGCTCCCTGTTTTAAAATGGGGACTGGCTGAGGGCAGACTCAAATTGCTGCAGCTCAGTGGAATGACCCAGTCATAGTCTTTTTAGTTTATTTAAAATCTATGCGCAATGCTCAGTTTGACAGTCTATGCTGTCAACAGGCATTAAAACCCTGCACCACATGAAATAGTGTCATGTAATCCTTAAGGGGTAATCATTAGTGATTGTTAAATATATTTCATCTATAAATTGCAACGTTTGGTGTTGAAGTTTAAAGTAGTTGAGTGGATGAAACACTGGTTGAGCAACAATGAGCAAAGGTAATGCCATTCTATAACTCACAATCTTGACATCACATATATTATTGTCTAAAGCAAAAGATGCTCAAACCAGTCTTCAAGGTCCAGCAATACTCAAGGTGATTTCCCTAATTAAGTAGAGTTGTATGATAAATTCTAAACCTGGGGTTGTTTCTAAAGATAGGCTTGAGTGCCACTGGACTAGAGTACTAACAATTCAATTTCCATAAGTAAACTACCCTGTTTACCCCGAGAATAAGACATCCCCCGAAAATAAGCCATAGCATATTTTCGGAAGATGCTCGTGATGTAAGTCCTACCATGAATGTAAGCCCTAGTCTTTAGTTCACTAATCTATGTTCAGGGAATTTTCTCTGAACATAGATTCACAGGAGAATTGGTAGACCTGCTTTCTAGCTCATGCTTGCTATTTCCCCGAAATAAACATACCCTGAAAATAAGCCTTAGTTTGCTTTTCCGGGAAAATTTATTATAAGACCCGGTCTTATTTTGCAATTTGAATTTTTTCTTTATTTTTCCAAATTATTTACAAAATAAGAAAGGGATACAGAAAGGGAAAAGGGATGGGGATACAGTCAGTAGCGTTGAATAATCAGCAATACAATTGTTCATACAATATTATGCATTTATCATATTGCATTTTAATAATGAGTATACAGATCCTGTCCATATTTATTGTATTTAACCTAGTGGGTACTACTGTGTCCACTCTGTAATTTCCCTCAGGATATATTGAAGACTATGAGAAAGGAGAGAAAAAAAAAAAAAGGGAAAACAGGAGAAGGTTCACTCCATAGCATTCAAATATTTAAGCCAGTCTAATAGTAGAGACTTATATTTATTTAGTTTGGTTGCTTATTATTATCAAATGGATTATATGTCCTACTTATTATGTATATCTGAGATTGCGTTTTAGCTCGACCTGGGTGAATAATAGAGGCTCATTTAACCCCTCAACGACACATGACATGTGTGACATGTCACGACTCCCTTTCACTCCAGAAGCCTGGTCCCCAAGGGGCTAAACCGAAGTTTAAAAATTATTATTGATTTTTATAAATTTTTACTTAGTTATATTCTGATAGTAACTAGAAAATGGGTTTAATTTCTCGCATCTTATTCTGAATGTATACATCATATATCTACTAAGCTTATATCATTCTTATATTTATATATAGGTTTTCCAGCAGTTAGCTACTTTTAGGCTTAGTTTCCCAATTTTGGTCTGGTTCCACATGGTAAGCTCATAATCTGTAGTCAAAGACATTAATTTTCGTCTATTGAGGGTAAGCTTGTGGTCTTCCAGAATCCTTGCATTATAAAAAAAAAAGAAAAAAAAACTTGTAAATTTATACTTTAGTTTACTGTCACTTTAAGATCGCCTCCAGCTTAATAAAGCGATACTTTGGATTTATATAATGTTATATAATAAGGTGTAACATACTTCAGATAACAATACAATATAAAAAATAATATAGATCTAATATAAATGGTCAAAATTATATTTTATAAACGTGATATCAAGATAGTCGGTTAGCAGTTTTCGGGTGGGAGGTATTATAAGGGTTTTGAGATCATAATTGCAGTCTTAATAACAGCTGCACAAATTACCTCTGATCTGTGTTTCCTTCTATCTCCCCTTTCCCATCCCTTTTCCTTCCTTTTTCCTCCTTCCCTCCTCCCGTCTCTTTCATTTTAGTTTTTTTTATAAACTATTGTTTGAATAGTAAGGCATATATAGATGCAGGAATACTAAGTTACAGGATTTAGGGAGGGTCTGGGAGGGAGGGTCTGCTGCTGATTGGCTGGAATGTGTCTGCTGACTGTGAGGTACAGGGTCAAAGTTTATGTTTATGTTCGCCGTCCGTGGCGAACCGTTCGGCGAACCTTTTGGCGAACCGTTCGGGACATCACTACATATAAATTAATAACGTTAAGCTGTATTTATACCTAGGTAGTTAGTTACTATTCACTAATTACATATTATTATTATTGCGATAACGTTATAATATAAACTTGTATGTCAGCACCCTAAGGTAATTAGCAATTAACAATTAATAATTACTACTACCGTAAGTTATCTAACACAATTAACACAATAAATTAGCTTAAAATAACTAACATTCATATGTCATTATATTTAAACTTTATCAGTTTGATAATATTATAAATAATAAATAACTTGCGGTCTTATAGTCCAATTTTCAGGCGGTTTCTTAATCCTGGTAGGCTTGTGCCAAAAAAAAAAATTATTATTATTTTGAGTCTAAGTTTATTTTGAGTCCAAGTTCTTTTTAGGTCTGAGTACTCGGCCTTCTTCTCGGGAGATCCTGCTAAGATCTTTATCTTGCTCGTGCTTCCATTTCTGTAGCAATTCCTCTCCTTCTGCCAGCAAAGTCAGTGTTATATTTCCATCATCTTTAAGAATAATAAGCTTAACTGGATACCCCCAACGATAAGGTATGTTGTTACGTATAAGGGATTCTGTGATATCCTTGTAAGTCCATCTGAGTCTCATAGTCTCCGCTGATAGATCTGAAAACAAAGATATTCCTCTAAATCTCTCCGATATATCTTTTTTATTTCTGTGAGCTCTTAAAATCTGCTCTTTGATGTGAAAAAAATCCATATGAGGACATCTCTTGGTGCAATGATTGTTTTGGTACTCTATGCACACGATCTAATAATAGCTTTTCAGTTGAAATATCTGGTAGTAGGGTTTGGAAGAACTCTGTAACATAAAGTGTTAAGTCTTGTGTGCTTATATCTTCCGAGATACCTCTTAACCGAACATTATTTCAACGTGATCTGTCCTCCAGGCTCATGATTTTAAGCTCTTGGGAGACTATTTGTTCTTCTAACCGCGCTAAGCGTTTTTCAGTTTCAGTGCATGAATTCCGTAAATCCGTCTCCAAACAACGCGTACAAGCAGCTAATTTTGTGAGATTTTTCATAACTTCAGCAATAGCGTCTGTGAACGTAGACTGCATTCTGATAACTGCACTGTCAAGCATACTTTGTAATACCCGCTGTGTAAGTGGAGCATCCGGAGCTTCATTTGGTTGCTCCGTGTCTGAGAGCTTGGCGCCGTCTTGAGGCATGTATTCAGCTTGTTTTGTCACTGAGGGTTTAGCCGCGAAAAAGGCCGATTTATCCCTAATCTCAGCAGGCTTCTTGGCTCGCTGAGTCGACATAGTAGACCGGGTAAGTCGGGTCCTCGAAGGGTTCTAACGGGTTTCTGCACCAGGATTACGGGACATAAATTTTTCTAAACGTAGTATGAGCCCAAGCCGCCCAAGCTCGCATGGCTAGCCGCCACTCCGCTCAACATCCAGTAGACCCAGTTTTATTTAAGGGGAAATATGGTGGGAGTCCAAAGAAGGACTATTAAATGACATTTGATTTATTGGAGAAAAAAAAAATAGCTGCCAGGTGTTGGAACGAGAAAGACTATATGCACAAACATTTATGTATTTTGAAAATTAATTGTAATGAGTACTGGTGAAGGAACAAAGTCCAGAAGAAACCATCAACTAAGGAGCAATAAAAGAAATTAATCTCAGATTGGTAATTTGTGGTTAATCCACATTTTTTGAGCATTACCTTTTGCATGTAATCAAAACAAAAATGAAGGATAGTGTGACCTAAAGTTGCTATTGTTCTCTCTCCCTTTATGTAAATGCATCAGATAAATCACTTCTCTATATGTACCAAAATATTTTTCTATTCAATTTAACTTTTCTTTTTTCTGCATTTACTGTTATTCTAGTTTGGTGTAGACTAAATATAGAAAGTGAAAATTGCTAATGAAAAAACATCTATACATACACCCACACTGGGATTTTAGCTTGCTGCTTTTTCCAGAATTAATTTATTAGAACACAGAGTAATATTTTCCTGGCGTTAAAAGACTTTCAGTGAAACCGAGTGCCAGAGATCTAAGCATTTTATCTTTGTCTTATCTTTTTTTCTGAAATCATTATTTTTCTGTCTGTTTGTCTATATATATACACATTGTATATATATTTTTTGTCCAATAAAATAATATTAAATTGATCACATAAACACCAAAGACACTGCTAATGTTATACATGACTATTGTAGCTGGAAACAGCTAATTTTTTATAGAATATCTACATATGTGAACAGAGGCCCATTATCAGTAAATATATATACATACACACACAACCTATCAACAGTTTGTGATCACTCAGAAATTATCTTATTTTCCATGGGGAAAAAAAACTATATGAAATGAGTTCGAATAAGAAATATAGTAATTGACAAGGTTAAAACTAATTAATTGTAAGTGAAATAACTGCTTTTGTAAGAGAATCCTCTTTGTGCATTAAAGACTTTCAAACTTTTGGTATTTTATTTTTAAGTTTGTTGAGGTAATTTAAAGAGATTTCACCCCTTGTTTCCTGAAGCACCTTCCACAAATTGGATTTGCTTGATGGACACTTCTTATGTCCAATACGATCAAGCTGTTCCCACAACAACTCAATAGGGTTGAGATCTGGTTACTGTGCTGGACCCCTATTAATGGCAGAATAACAGTTGGCAGCGTATTCCCTAATTTATCCTTGCATAGTTTGCCAGTTGTATCATTGTCCTGTTGTAGGAGGAAACTTCCTCTGACCAGGGTCTGTGACCAATTGTCGATCTTAATCTTTTCTCTTTGCTTGCCAGGCTGAGATATAGCTTATTCTTTGCAACTTTGCCTAGAAGGCCAGCATCCAGAGTTATCTCTTCACTATTGTTTTTGAGAATATTTTGTGGGTACTCTATAATAAAGCTGCCAGTTGACATATGGGGCATCTGTTTCTCAAACTAGACACTCTAATGTATTTGTCCTCTTGCTCAGTTGTACTCCTCTTCCTATCATTGATAGAGCCAGTTTACACTGTATTTTGAAAGGTACACAGGGTTGTGGTATATCTTCAGTTTCTTGGCAATTTGTCTCTATTTTTCAGGGCAAGAATATACGGATGAGTTTGGAAGACATTTCATTGTTGCTGGCTAACTTGAGCCTGTAGATGAATCCACAATTGCTGAAGCTAAGATGCCCAGTTTTATTACTTTTTTAATCAGCACAACAGTTTTCAGTTGTCAAAAAAAGTTATACATTGATTTGCATGTCAATGAGTGAAACCGACCTAGTACTTGGTGGAAAAAACCCTTGTTGGCAATCACAGAGGTCAGACATTTCTTGTAGTTGGCCACCAGGTTTGCACACATCTCAGGATTTTGGTGGGATTTTGTCCCACTCCTCTTTACAGATCCTCTCCTAGTCATTAAGGTTTCAAGGCTGACGTTTGTCAACTCGAACCTTCAGCTCCCTCCACAGATTTTCTATGGGATTAAGGTATGGAGGTATGGGCTAGGCCACTCCAGGACCTTAATGTGCTTCTTCTTGAGCCACTCCTTTGTCACATAGAAACATAGAATGTGACGGCAGATAAGAACCATTCGGCCCATCTAGTCTGCCCAATTTTCTAAATACTTTTATTAGTCCCTGGCCTTATCTTATAGTTAGGATAGCCTTATGCCTATCCCACGCATGCTTAAACTCCTTTACTGTGTTAAACTTTACCACTTCAGCTGGGAGCCTATTTCATGCATCCATTACCCTCTCAGTAAAGTAATACTTTCTGATATTATTTTTAAACCTTTGCCCCTCTAATGTAAGACTATGTCCTCTTGTTGTGGTAGTTTTTCTTCTTTACTGTGTTTCCTTTTATGTATTCCTTCTATGTATTTAAATGTTTCAATCATATCTCTCCTGTCTCGTCTTTCCTCCAAGCTATACATGTTAAGTTCCTTAGTTTAGTAACCCTTCTCTGAACTCTCTCTAAAGTAGCAATATCCTTCTGGAGATACAGTCTCCAGTACTGCGTACAATACTCCAAGTGAGGTCTCACCAGTGTTCTGTACAATGGCATGAGCACTTCCATCTTTCTACTGCTAATACTTCTCCCTATACAACCAAGCATTCTGCTAGCATTTCCTGCTTCTCTATTACATTGTCTGCCTACCTTTAAGTCCTCAGAAATAATCACCCCTAAATCCTTTTCCTCAGATGTTGAGGGTAGGACTCTATCAAATATTCTGTACTCTGCCTTTGGCTGTTTACGTCCAAGATGCATTATCTTGCACTTATCCACATAAAATGTCAGTTGCCACAACTCTGACCATTTTTCTAGTTTACCTAAATCATTTGCCTCCTGGAATATCAAACCTGTTACATATTTTTGTATCACCAGCAAAAATACATACCTTACCATCAAGACATTCTGCAGTATCACTAATAAAAATATTAAAGAGAATGGGTTCAAGTACAGATCCCTGGTGACAAGCCCATGCTTCGAATATACTCCATTGACTACAGCCCTCTGTTGCCTGTCACTCAGCCACTGCCTTACCCATTCAACAATATTGGAATCCAAACTTAAAGATTGCAGTTTATTGATAAGCATTCTGTGTGCAACAGTGTCAAAAACCTTACTGAAATCTAGGTAAGCAATGTCTACTGCACCATCCTGATCTATTATTTTAGTTACCCAATCAAAAAAATCAATAGGATTTGTTTGGCATGATCCCTCTGAAGTAAACCCATGTTGTCTCTGATCTTGAAATCCATGTGATTTTAGATGTTCAACAATCCTATCCTTTAACATGGTTTCCATTACTTTCCCCACTACTGAAGTAAGGCTTACTGGCCTATAGTTGCCCGACTCCTCCCTACTACCTTTTTTGTGAATGGGCACAACATTCGCTAACTTCCAATCTTCTGGGACTACTCATGTTAACAATGATTGGTAAAAATAAATCTGTTAATGGTTTGGTAGTAGACCACTAAGCTCTTTTTATAACTTTGGGGGTATTCCATCAGGTCCTATTGACTTTTTTGTCTTTACTTTTGACAGTTGAAATAGAACCTCTTCCTTTGTAAACTCACATGTAACAAATGACTCATTTGTCCTTTTTCCTAACTGAGACCATTGCCTTCATTTTCATCTGTAAATACTGAACAAAAATATTAATTGAGGTATTCAGCTAGACCTTTATCCTCTTCCACATACTTTCCTTCTTTTGTTTTTAATGTAATTAATCCTTGTTTTACTTTCCTTTTCTCATTTATGTATCTAAAAAATGCATTGTCCCCATTTGTTACCGACTCTGCTATTTTCTCCTATGTGTGTGATTTGGAAGCTCTTATAACTTGCTTAGCCTCTTTCTGTCTAATCTTATAGATCTGTCTATCTTCCTCACTCTGTTTTTTTAATAATTACTAAATGCTAACTTTTTGTTTTTTTACTATTTTGGCCACATCTGCGGAGCACCACAGTGGCTTCTTGAATTTTTTGGTTTTACTTACAAGCCTAATGCAATTTTCTATTGCCTTCAGCAGTGCAAATTTTAATTAACCCCATTTATTTTGTACTCCATTTAAATTGCTATAGTCTGATAATGGCTCCTTTACACATATTTTAATTTTAGAAAAGTCTGTTTTTCTAAAGTCTAAAACTTTTGTTTTTGTGTGGTGTGATTCAGTCACTATTCTTATATTAAACCACACTGACTGATGAACACTGGATTCTAAACTTTCACCTACAGTAATATCTGATACCAAATCTCCATTTGTTAAAACTAAATCTAGTATGGCCTCTTTAGGAGTTGGCTCCTCAACGACTTGTTTTAGAGACAATCCCAGTAGGGAGTTTAGAATATGTGTGCTCCTGACACAAGCAGCTATTTTGGTTTTCCAGTTCACATCAGGAACATTAAAGTCACCCATGATGATAACTCCCCCCTTCATTGTCATTTTAGCTATTTCCTCAACTAGTAGATAACTCTTTTATTTGTCCTGGGAGCCTATAAATCACACCTACACGAGTTACTGTGTGATTACCAAATTGTAATGTAACTCAAACGGACCCTATCTTCACCTCACTAACTTTTATTAGGCTAGATTTTATGCTATCCTTCACATACAGGGCCACACATCCCCCTTTCTTGTCTTCCCTGTCTTTTCTATATAAAGAATACCCTGGTATTGCTCTGTCCCAGTCATTTTTCTCATTATACAATGTCTCAATAACAGCAACTAAATCTACATTATCAGTTGCCAAGTTCATGGATCTTATTCCCTAAATTGCGGGCATTTGTAGACATGACTCTAAGCTTATCA